TGTAATACTTGGTTCCAGAAAGAATACGACACACGATGGACTTGGCAACACCCCCGCACCAAAACACAGCATTGCATTGACTACGTCATTATTCCAAGAAATCACTGGCAACGATGTTTGGACTCACAGGTTATACACAGTGCTGAGTGTGGTACGGACCACGCAATGGTCGCCATGCGCTACCGGATCGGTTTTATTCAAAGGCACCGTAGACCAACTAAACATGGAGTGCCGAGGTTTGATGTCTCCAAGTTCCGTGATACACTGGCTCGGGGAAGAAACGTAGACTGCGAGTTGATCCGGGAATATCAGACCAAGACGGAGACAGTATTGAATGGGAAGTTATCATCACCCATCACCACTACTGGGGAGCATTGGCATGTTCTCCGTGACACGCTTACTGAAGCGGCAGGGGATGTCCTCGGCCGTAGCAAACGCAGGCAACCAGACTGGTACGTGGACAGCCGGGAAATCATCCAACCTCTACTTGCCAGACGGAACGAGTTGTACTCCCGATGGATCAAGACTGGCCAGTCCAACAATCCAGTACTGGTAGAATTCCGGAGGGCTCGAGGAGAGGCCCGCGCCGCTGTGCGAAGGGCGAAAAATGACTGGTTCGTGGCCAAGGCAGCGGAGTTGGAACAGTCACGTTTCAGCTCAGCCCACGTATGGTCTTGTATTCACGATATGCAGGCCGCACGGCAAGGCTTGCGCAGTAAGGCAACTGTGCCTATACGTGATCTGAACAACAACATATGCAAGTCTCGAGCAGAGCAGGGTACGCAGTGGCGACGGCACTTTGCCAACATACTTAATGTCGCGTCCGTGTTTGACCCAGAGGAGATTGATCAGCTAGAGGCCAGGGATCCAGTCCCAGAGCTCGATGACCTGCCAACTGCTGAGGAGCTACAGCGAGCTATAAGCAAACTACGCAATGGAAAGGCGGCCGGTGAGTCAGGCATCCTACCGGAGATGATCAAGTACAGTGGCCAGAGGTTCAGTGAGTCTCTGTTGGAACTCCTCCATCGCGTCTGGAATGATGGCACAGTACCGCAGGAATGGGTCGACTGTAATCTTATACCCATTCCCAAGAAAGGCGACCTGAGTCGCTGCGATAATTGGCGAGGCATTTCCCTCTTGGATGTTGCCGGTAAAGTACTTGCCCGCATTGTGCAGACTCGCCTGCAATCTATGGCTGAGTCCTTCTTACCAGACACTCAGTGTGGTTTTCGACGAGGGCGATCCTGTACGGATATGATATTTGTGGTCCGCCAGATGGTGGAGAAGGCATTTGAACATCGAGGGAAAGCTTTCCTCCTGTTCATCGACCTCCGCAAGGCTTATGACTCTGTCAGTCGGGATTGCCTGTGGCGCGTACTGGAGAAAGCTGGTGTTCCTCCCCGTCTCCTATCCATTGTTCAGTCCTTCCACACCTCTATGCAGGCTACAATTTGCGTTGATGGTGATAGACTCGATCCATTTGCTGTGAGGAATGGCCTCCGTCAAGGTTGCTCCATGGCTCCCACATTATTTAACATCTTCATGTGGGCAGTCTTCCAACGGTGGTATGCCCGCGTCGCAGATATCCCCGGAGCTGGTGTTCCGATTCATACTAATGCAAGGCAACGTCTGTTCTTCCGACGACACCGCACAGACACTAGACGTTCCATCCTTGACTGCCAATTTGCAGATGACTCTGCCCTGATGGCCACGCGTCGGGAGGCAATAGAGACTTGCCTAACGGCATTTGTTGAGGTGGCAGGTGCATTCGGTCTCAAAGTTAACCTAGAGAAAACCAAGCTCATGGTCACCGGTCATCATGTTACTGAAGAGGATGTGCGCCCGCTGATGTTGAATGGCCATGCGGTGGAGGTGGTCTCTGAGTTTCGCTACCTCGGAACTAATATCCACGCTGATGGCCGCTGCTCCCGGGATATCGAGTCCAGGATAGCTGCTGCATCACGTGCCTTTGGCGTTCTGAGTCGCCCAGTGTTTCGGGATAACAATCTAACGCTGGCCACCAAGCGAACAGTGTTTGAGGCGTGTGTGCTGAGCTTGCTGCTGTATGCGTCTGAGTGCTGGGTACCACTCCAAGCCGATATTGCCAAGCTGTCATCTTTTTACATGAGATGCCTCCGCACCATCATGGGTGTGTCACGCTCTGACGTCTGGGACTTCCACATCAGCAACACCACCATCCTGGAGCAGTGGAATGATGCCAGACCCCTGCCCATCAAGGACCGGATTGTGCAACGCCGTTTGGAATGGTTTGGCCACGTTATGCGCATGGATATGGAACGGACACCCCGGGTTGTTCTGTTCGGCTGCCGACCGGAGACCCGACCTGCATGCGGCCCACGAAAGCGCTGGCGAGACGCTCTGAGTCCGGATCTACAGCGATGTGACGTACAGGACTCTTGGCCAGAAGATACCCAGTCACGACCAGGGTGGAGGAACATCTACCGTGAGCTGGAACCAGCTTCGTCACCAGTGCGTAATG